ATATAACTGTGTACAGAAAGAGTGGAGCGCGCACGGGCAGAAATGTTGAGAGCGCAAGTGCAAAGACTGAGCGACAGGGGCTGCTATTGTGTGTGTGTGTGTGTGTGTGTGTTTATAATAGCAAACACTGAAATACATTTTTTGCACACAGCAATGAAGTTTGTTCACTCAAATTTAGCTTTCCTTCACTCAAAATAAATTTCTCCTCAAAATGCAACACTCGCAACTGCAATTTTGTTTTTACGTGCGCTCAGAATAGTGGCACAAGAATAACGCCATATTTTTGTTCCAATTAACATTACAAGGGCCAGTTTATTTTGAGTGGGCAACATGACTGCCCTCTACTGGTGACATGAGGAAAAAAAGTCTTACAATGCATTCACTGTAGGATACAGGTCATGAGGAATGGTTTCTTTATTACAATGTTTACAGAGACTTTATAACAATTAGCTGCTGGTAACATCCTCTGACATGCTGTCCTCAGGTCTAGTTACGTTTCTTGAAAGCTGAGGAGAAAAAAAAAAGGACTGCTGCATTTTATTTGAATAAAGACAAATTTTTAATAATACTAGTTCACAGGTTAATTTGGTCTCGTGGTATTTCAAAGTCCTTACCTTTTCTTTTGGTTTTCTTCTTCATGATTTTCTTCTTTTTCTTGGGTCGTGGGTTATCCCCATCCTGCACGTACACAGAAAACGCATCAAAACCACATTAAGACTGTAATCTAAATAAAACTGAGCCACAAAGCTCCCATTCATACTGTACAAAGATGGGCCTGTTAGCAACACTTTGTACCTTCTCATGGTGCCCAGGACAAAATCTAAACATAGCACATCGATTTTCCAAGACTTCCTAAATACACACAGGGGTTTTTCCACATCTGCAGGAACTATCGGCAAGAGCCTGAGCGGCCATTACTCTGACTTATTAGTGCTTTTTATGACAGCAGACAGTTAATTAAGACAGGAAACAGAACAGAGCCACAGCATGCCAAACCTATGTAGGCACGAAGTGTAGCTGTTGCCAGCAGTACTGCACCAGACAACTGAGTCACCACAGCACTCAGCATTTTAAGGTAAACATTCCAAACCTCTTGAAACTATCCAACTGGAGCCTTCTGTCCGATTGTGTGCTGGTAGCAGCTCAGGTTTAATCCCAGTCAGTATAAATGATGAAGTCTCAGTTCGGTTTAGAGATTAACCAATAAGCAAGACAGAAGCTCAAAACCAAAATACAATAACGCAAACACACCTGCACCGCCTCGCCACCGGTCAGAGCTGTGATGTCACCAAAGTGTGTTATACTGCTCAGCTGGTTGGACATGGCCATCATGCCCCTCTTCTTGGCGTTCCTCTGATGCTTCGGCACATTGAGACGCACCATCATCGACTCCTCGTAGTTCTTCCTGTGTTGAGGTAAACACATACCATTTACACAAACCACCAAGCAAAGAAAAAAGAAAGACGATGCTGCAAGGTCTTGACTGAAAGACCCCTCAGCACCGTATCACCCCAGTAGAGCCCTTTACTCTGAGACTGCTGGTTTACTTGCACTTCCCAGGACATTTAAAAGTATAATGGGAGGCAGAGCATTCAGCTTTCCCGCCCCTCTTCTGTGAAACCAGCTCCCAGTCTAGATTTTATGTGATTATACACCTCTATGCATTTAATTATTAGTTGTTATTAATCTCTAATGTATTTTGACTTGTCTTTCTCCCTTCACTCTGAGGGATATTCTGCTGTATAAATAAAACTGAATTCAATTAGAAGTTTATCTCACAACACTTCCCATCTAAATCAAGTAGCAGACATTATGACCACCTAACACCCTTCTGTGTGTAAAGTAAATGAGCAGGAACCTGTGGAGCTCCTCGCGGCTCTCCCGCTCGCTCTGGAAGTCCCGTTTGTCTCTGATCTCCTCTGGGGCGTC